TTACATAAAAAATGAAAATTTTTAAATAGTTGATTTGATATTAACATTGATATATAATTTTTATGATATTTTCAAATTTATATTTTATTTAAAAATAAAATCATTATTGTTTTTTTAAAAACACATAAAATCGTATTATAACATCAATAGAAACAAATAATAAAATAAAACATAAAAATCGAGACGTGTCTCCATGTATTTTGCGAGTACTACAAAATTATGATGTGTGATGCGTCCTTATGCAGAGAGGGAAACAACAAGTTTTAAAAGTTTACAGTGGGTTAAAGTTCAAATGCAGGTACGGAATGGGAAAGAGAGCGGCAACGGTTCATGGGAATTGAGGAATCCATGTATGAAAGCGAAATAATCGCCATTTCAAATCAAACGTATATACTTCTTGATTCTAACATCTCCCTCCCATTTCTGCAACTCATTCTTCCTCCATCATCAACACTTAGCAATGCCGCTGGACACATCAAAAATCGAAACCCTAACTCCATCTCAATTCATCACTTTCACAATTCCAAACTCTATTCCTAACCCTGTTAAACACTACTGCTATCTCCGCAGTCCACTGCTTCGCGTCGCCCTCCTCGATTCTCCAAAAGTCACCTCCAATGGTGATGCCCCATTAATCGCCGCCATGATCGTACCGGGCCACCGGGAATCAGACTGGATCTTCTGTACAGAATCCGGACATTTTCAACTCCTACTCAACTTCTCCAACGTCTCCCGCCTCATCCTTATCGGTAATAATCCCCAACCTAATTCAGGAGCCTCCATTTATATTCGCCCTCCCGTTACTGATACCCTCGATACGGAGAAACTAGAAGACGATTTGAAACCATTCGTAATCGCTTTGCATCCCACAGAGTGTTTTCAAGATGGTTTGCCCGAACCCGTATTCTTGACTTATGAAGATGATATAATGTATCGTGCGACTATATATCGATACGTGGGTCCTGTTGTTGGTGAATTTCTTATTGAAGATGTTGAAGTGGAAAGTAAAGATGATACCAATAAAGTTTTCAGAAGGAGGTTGAGGTTTAAAAGAACGCCTAATTTGATACAATCGGAGATCCCTCTTGTTCCGACTATCAGTAATGCCATGGGTGATTTGGGGTTAGATTTGCCAAGTTTGAGGAAAATGAATGAAGTGGAGTTTAGGGTTGATACAGATGTTTTGGTTCAGCCATACTTAACTGCTATGGTTTCTGGTCTTTTCTTGATTGTTTCCCTTCTTGATCAGCGGATCAAACAAGGGTTTATTCCAAGAGCTTTATGTTTAGGGGTTGGAGGTGGTGCTTTGTTAAGTTTCTTGAACACCCGATTGAAGTTTAAAGTTGTTGGAGTGGAGTCCGATGAGGTTGTTTTGAGCATTGCAAGGCAGTATTTTGGGTTAAACAGTGGGAATTCTATTCGACTATTTGTTGGAGAAGCTATTGGATATATTGCAAAGATTGCCCGCCGACAAAGAGAAAGGAGCACACGTGCTTCGCAGGCTAATACTGATTGGTTGGATGATAAATATGATGTACTCATGGTGGATTTGGATTCAAGTGATGCTAGAGCTGGTACTCCTCCAGCAGAAATTATTAAGAAGGCGATTTTTCAGGCGGTTAGATTAGTTCTTCATGATCATGGTGTTTTTGTGATCAATGTAATCCCTTCTGATGACCTGTTCTATATGACACTGATACAAAAACTTCAGGATGTTTTTCACAAGGTCTACGAGATAAAAGTTGGGACCAAGAATGATTCCGTACTTGTGGCCACCATGTCATCAGTACCTAATGACCATGACAATGATTTGTCGATAAAGCTGAGATGTACGATTTCAGGAGCATATGTGGACTCTATAACGGAATTGTGATTTCAAAGAGCCTTTTCCAGTACAGAGGTTTATTCGGTTTGTTACTAGTTATAGCCATCATACTTCGATTTTTTTTTTTTCATTAGAAAGGCAAGAGATAGGGAGAAATCTGCACCCCACAATTGAAGTACAGTTTTTGTAGATTTGATGAGTAGCAGATAGCTTATTAGATGTAAACATACAGAATAATGAAGATCAAGATTCCCACAAAAATTGACAGTTCTGTCCATTTCTTGTTTGGCTATCAACTTCGTGTTTAGAGGATGCATCGAATTTTAACAACCATCTCTCTGCAGATTTGTTGATGGTTTATGTTTGTGTGCTTCTATGTAGAATGATGTGCATAATGTCTTGATAAACTGTCGAACGAGAAATCTTATTTATGATAGCTTTTCTGCAAAATCTTGCAAGAAGTTTGAGATTTCAGGGTGTGGGGGTTCAGATTGATTCATTACCTGATTAATCAATCGGGTAAGTTTTTTTTTTTATTAACCAGGATATTCAATTCGCTATGTGAGCCGACTAATCTTAGAGCCACCACCTGTTTATGCAATTTGCCCCCACATTAACTTTTATATTTTATACAGTTGATCTATGATCTTGACAAATATGTAACAGGACTCCAAAAAATTGAAATGCCCCTCAGTTTTATCTCATTATTATGAACAAACAACAACAAATGCCTTGTTTCATATGACATAAAGAAACAGGCCACTATCCAACCCAAATACCTTTCTTTGTATGTACACAAATATGTACAGATGGTTAAAAATCAGTTTTGGACCGGTCATAGACCTAAGTGGTTGAAGTGTAACTGGTCTGTCAGGCATGATCCTGATCAGAATTTTGGGACTGATCTTGGTTTGTCAATCGAACCCAGTTCCGAGTCCTACTTTTTTTTAAATATATTATAAATAAAATTACACAAAAATGTTTTTCAATTTTTTTTATAAATATGATTTTGAAATTGGATACTAAAATATACTTTAAGATGACGTTTGTTTTTCAAGAGATGTTGAAGTTTGAAGTTTAATTTCACTTCTGATTTATAAGAGGTGGTCCTGAAGTCTGAAATCTATATCAGTAAGATTGTTTGTTTTTACGCCTGAAGTCTAAATTTTGAATCGGTCAAACTAGTGCAAAAATATAAACGATAAATACATTTTACAAAAGTATAAAAGATAAATAGTTTTTGCTAACAAATCTCTTACAATCCCAAAAATATGAACCATTTGATAGGTGGCGGATTAGGGTTAAGAGGTTTTAAGGGATACGTTTACCACTTAAAATTTTAGAGGACATTTAGAGTTTTCAAACTCTTATTTTATAAATAAAACAAACATTTTTAATACCCAAATATCTAAACAAATAAGACTTCAAAAATATTAATAAATAATTTTGAAAAAAAAAAACAGACCCTAAATATTACATTACTCAAGATATATTTTTTTGAAAAACTTAAAATTATAATTTATAAATACTCGAATAATTAGTCCCTATCCATATAAGTGGTCATGATCCTGTAAGCAAGCACTGAAGCACTGGACCTGGTCTTGAATTTTCAGAAATTTCGTAAGTGGTCACGTGACAGACCGGGCTGAATATGGCACATGTCTATTCTCCAGTAGTCTACAATCTAGAAAAATATAGGCCCAATCGGAAATCTAAAGCTTATTACTATTGGGCCCACCATCAATGTCCAATAGCCCAAAAAACTTTATGGGCCTACCCCCATATATTGCAATCCATTTCTCTGAGCACACAGCCCAATAAATGAGGGCTTCTCTTCGTATAAATAGCATCACATATCGGAAAAATAAAGACGCATGGCACATTTTTTATAGGTGATCGAAAAATGAGTCGATGATGCGATACATCTCCTACGACCTTCAAGAACACGGTCAACTCTTGGTAACTCAATATGTTAAGCCATTTTTGTTTTTGATTTAATAACACGTTTAACCGTCTTGATACATCATAAATAAGACGATATCTGAATGTTTGTTTAGGGCACCGTTTAGGATTTGTTGTATCTATCAAGCTGTGACATTCTCGAACCCTATCTTTCTCTTAGAACCCGCCTCTGCTCTATTCTTCCTCTGCAATCAACGCTCTCCCTCCTTAATTGTCACTTGATATTGCACGGTTTGATATTTCTTCATCTCTTATATTTAGATGTATAACCTTTAGGGTTTGGTTCCAGTGGCAAGAGAAGTTACAGTGAGAATCGTAAGAAAATATCTTTACCATTGGATATCTCTAATTGAATGTCAACACCAATGAGATGTATCAATATGTACCTAATCAATACCCGTTTAAAGCATAATTCATTGGTGGACATGATATTAAAAGGGTTGAGATCTCTTCTTATATTTTTCACTTTATCTTTTTTTATCATATGATCCTTCACCTATAATCATGAATGGTATTTTTAATTAAATCTATGATATTATTTGTCCGATCTGATACTGGCCAAAATTTTGTGCTTGGTTTTGGTTTGTCAACCAAACCCTCTTCTATAAATAAAATTACACAAAAATGGTTTTCAATTTTTTTTATAATTATGATTTTGAAATTGTATACTAAAATACACTTTAAATATTACATTATTTGAATTTAGTTTCCTTTTAAAACTTAAATTATAGTTTATAAATACTCGATAATCAGTCCCTCTGCATATAAGTGGTCATGGTTATGTAAACAAGAACCATACCCAGTCTTGAATATTCAGAAATTTTAAAACTGGTCCTGTGACAGACCAGGCTAAAATGACACACGTCTATCCTCCAAACAAGAGATGGCCAAATGGGCCCGCCCGATGCGGCACCGGCGGAGGACCCGAGACCGACGATTATGGTTTTCATTCAAAAACAAGGTATGGCCCGTGGTCGGTTATAGGATCAGCCTGAAAGTGACCCGATTTTATTTTTTCAAAAAAAATGTATTTTTAAATGTATTTCTAATTTTCTAAGTGTATTTGATTAAAAATCAAATTAGAAATTACAATAAAACATAATTTTTAAGTGTATTTGATTGAAAACTAATTATAAAACGTAACTTTTAAATTTATTTGATTGAAAATCAATTATAAAACTACAATAAAACGTATTTTTTAAGTGTATTTGATTTATCTGTTTAGATATTTTAAAATGTATTAGAATAACAATAAAAAAAATTAAATTTTTTGTCAAAAAGAATATAAAAAAAGTTTTATTTAATATAGTATCGGTTTGGGTCCAACCAGGGACGAGTTACCGTAACCGGTTACAAGTATCCCTAGCTGGGACTTGGTATTTTTGACCCAGGACCGATTTTTGACCATGTTAATCTAGACTAGAGATGGCCAAATCGGCCCGGCCGGCCCGGGACCGTCGGAGGACCGGGACTGACAAAGGAGCGGCCCGGGACCGGGACCGGTAAGGACCGGTTATGGGACCGAAAACCGGGACCGGCTGAGGTTTTTGGTAGTTTCGTAGGACCGGGACCACTTATGGGATTGAATATGGACCGGCCCGGCCCCAAAATTCAAATAATTTTATAAATAAATGTATTTTTAAATAATTTTATAATGTATTTTTATAAGAAAACGTAATTTTAATTATATTAAAACGCATTTTTAAATTGTATTTGAGTGACCCAATTGTAAATTTTATAATGTATTAAACATATATATCATTAAAAAAATCTTATTTTTTAATGCAAGAACCGGGACCGGTTGGGACCGGGACCTGTTATGAAGTACCTTGACCGGTCCTATCATTTTCGACCGGGACCGGGACCGGTTACGTCGGGATCGGTTATGGCCGGTTATGAGAAAGGTTAGGACCGATTGGAACCAGCCCGGCCCGGCCCGGGATCGGTTTTTGGCCATCTCTAGACTTAGATTCTAGAAAAATAAAGGCCCAATCGGGAATCTAAGGCTTATTACTATTGGGCTCACCAGCAATGTCCATTAGCCCAATCATATGTTATGGGCCTACCCCCAAACGTGGCAATGCATTTCTTTGAGCACACGGAACCCAACAAATGAGGTTTTCCGTTCGCATAAATAGCATCACATATCGGAAAAATAAAGACGCATAACACATTTTTTATAGGTGTTCGGAAAACGAGTCGATGATGCGATACATCTCCTACGATCTTCAAGAACACGGTCAACTTTCTGTAGTCCAAAAAATCTGAAGTCATTTTTGTTTTTAATTTAATACGTTTAATTGTGTAGGAAACCCGTAAATAAAACAATATCTGAATGTTTGTTTACGACACCGTCTAGGGTTTGTTGTATCTATTAAGCCGTGACATTCCCAACCCTAT